GACAATACTTGCAGAATTCAAATAAAATTATAAAACCAGAGAAGCTGCTCGGGCTTTAAATGTACTTTAAATGATGTTTTAATGAACAAATAAGTCGGATTTCTTGGTTTTAAGACCAATTTCATCAATGAATGGTACGAAAAATAAATAAAATAATATAAAAATTCAGTTCATCAACAATAAAGTTTATTTTAAAATACATGGTTTAACCATTTATAAGTTTTCTTTAATTTTAACCCTGTTTATTTATTGAGTTGAAATGGACCATTTTCCAAATGGTTTAGAGGAGAGTATGTGATAAATCGTTTAAATAATACCGTCAAAGATAATTCGTCTTTAATTTGCGGCGTTTTCAAGGGTACTTTCCTTTGGCGGACGCCGTTAATAGAAAGCAAAAGACGCCGACGTCGCTAGTGGAAAGTAAAAGAAGCCAACGCCGCGGTGGTAAATTACACACATTCTCATTCTCACCAATCCAATTTCATTGTTTCATGCTTTGTTCCATAAAATCATGTAAAACTCAAGTAGAACCGCGGACTACGCAAGATTTCCGACAACCCCAAGTGGTCTATCTCAAATATTTTATGAAATTTCCTGTAGGTTTTCGTCCCAATGGTAGACAGGTTGAAAAGATAGCAGGTGTGGGCAATAATGAGACCGTCACTTTTCAATTATTTTCCGGTGTTTCGACGTTTATTGAGGCCTTTAAGCTCTAAAGAAGACCTCAATAAAACACCGACAGGCACTGGATCGTCTGTGGATATTTTGACGACACATCAAAGAAATTATACCGCGGCTCAGGATCGGCTCGTCAGGTCTGGAGGCACATTATACAGTGTGATTCAAAATTGGCGTCATTCTTCTGGAGGTGTTTTAGAAGTACAGAAAAAATAGTTTAAAAAAATTAATTGCTATTAAAAACTAAGAAATTTGCAAAAAACTATATCAAAAGGACGGCAACAATGTTTTTCTAGGTAATCTGCATAATTAACATTACGAAAATACCTATTGCTTCGTAATTATTGAAAACTCCGGTAACCATGGAATTATACAGAGTGACAATAAAATAGAAAAGGATAAACAGTAAAATTCAACATGATTCGTTGAAACTCGGAACCCATGTTTTTATCTATGACGCACTTTTCCAAATGTCAATTATTGTCCTCATAATCACGAATTTATGTTTACAAATAAACATACATTTGAGTCATTAACTCGAGACAAGTTTATGCTTGTGTAATCTCCTTATTATCCCTCTTGTCGAGCAGCTTCTCGTATTCGGTTAATTAACTCGTGCTCAATTTGTACCGGTGTTGAGTAATGCATTGGTTTAATGTGTTCAAATTCGTGAAGGAGCTTCAAAGTATGTCGCAGTTTGACAAATTATTGCTATTATTGACAAAGGCTATCTACCTGTAACTATATGTTAATGACAAAAAACTTCATTGCCGCTTCAACTTTTCATGAAAATATTGTAGAAAAGTACTTTTGTAATATAAAAAAATTTCGAAATTTGAAGCAAAGATCGTAATTTTTCTTTTCGAATGCTTAGTATTCCAATATGCTACCAATTAAACATGGAACAATTTGAAAATAATGCTTAATAACGAAGTTTAAATTCGATTTTCAAATGTTAATATCTTCTAGAAATTATCGACAAATTTTTTTCTCCTTCTCTATAACTGATCTCCTATTACCCCTTAAAAGGGATGACGCCAATTTTGAATCACCCTGTAGAGTATGTATTGAAGGGACAGAAGGGTTCTCTTAAAGTGTAATCTTATTATATAATCGCGCGTTATCAAATCTGGGTGAAAAATGTATCGTGGCGATAATGTGTCGACAATTAAAACTTTTCTCTATCCAAACCGAAAATACTTTCGCAAACTGTCTCATACATCTCCGAACTTCCTCCGAAGTGATTGCTTACTTTCTAGGGCGGTTTCAGTTCGTTAATAAATTAAACTGTGCATTTTGATTATGTTTGTTGTTATTCTGGGTGTTTTCCATTCAGATATTTAGTTAAATTCGCCGAGACGGGGTAATTTTAACTTCTTAGTCGACTTTTTTTTAAATGGAACTTTTGAATTGAGGTTTTTTCTTGCAAAAGTTTTTTCGATTGAAATTGATTCACTCAGTTTACTTAAACCGCAAACAAACATCGCTCATAAAGTGAAAACAGAAAGAAACAAAATATGTTTCCAATGATAAGTAACTAGTCATTTCGGGTAAAATTTTCCTTATGGGAATGAAGTAGGTGGTTGTTAATGAATTGTTAATCGTTAGTGCTGTCAAAATAATTGAAAATGGAATTTAAATAATTGAAGCTCGAGATACCAGTAGCAACGGTTGTTGTTTGTAAACAAAAAAGTAGTTGTTAATAGAGACTCGATTATAAAAAGGCACAAATAAAGTATAGTAAAAAACACCCAGTGGTCGTCATTATAATTATAAAATAAATACAGTCCACTTTGAGTGCCAAATAAAGGCATTCCAGAACAGTGGTAATAACACTAATACAATTTTTCACGTAAAGTAAAAATATTGAAAAGTTGTAAAATGTTCTTCCTTTTAAACAAACAAGTAGACTTGCAATTCAACCTCAGACATTTGAAATTATTTTATATGCGTGTTTACTGTTAAAATCCTCGTGGTTAAGCAACAAGAACTCTTGAGAGAAACGAGTCACAAATAAAATTTTCCCAACTCAAAAACATTCTCATTCCGTAAAAGCCAAGACACACTTAATTCTCCAAATCGTCCGATCCCTCGTGTTTACGTCACCGACGAACGACACCGGCCTACTATGCACCAGTAGTCCAGAATGCATGTGGTTTTGCCGTCGATTTCGCATCTTAAATGCACTTTTCACCGACTTCAATTAAATCCGGGGGCACATGGGGGCGTCCGCGCCCCCGGACTAGTCCGGTAGGACCGGAATCGGGCGTCTATTCGGCCCCCACAGGTGGTTATAAGACTTGGAATTGGAGGCGACGGCAACATTGCAACAAATGTGGTTTAGTCGAAAACGGTGGCGCCATCGGATTTCAAGTGACGGTGAGTGGGACTATGGCGCGTTGCCGCTTGTTCCAGAATATCTCATAACGAGCGAATCCTCAGATTTGATTGTTTGCTTAGAGGCGTCTAAGCTAAATAGTTTGAAAGGTGTTTTTTCCTAATTTCTAAAATTATAAATGATGATATGGAATGGTTCAACATGAGCACAGCTATTTCTCAATGCAATTTTACGAAAAAACCGATTTAAACGACTGATACAAAAGGATTTTATAACATCACAAATCAAGAGGTAAATTTAATAACAAGGGGTTCTTTTCAAGTGTCTGATGCGTGTCACTGAAATGACCGTCAGTTATGTAGATTTCGGTCCTTGTGTTCTGGCAACAATGCGGCTTTTTGTAAACAAACTGCTAGTGGGAAACAAGTTAAAAATTATCTGATTTTATTTTATTCATTTTCTATGTCCCGTTGAAGGTACATGATATTTATGTGTTCCCAGATAAACATGTCTTATAAAACGACGATATAGATAGGAAATGGGGATTGTTGAGTTGGGTGTTTTTTCGTTTTTTTTCTAATACTTATTTAAATAATTATTCACTTAATTTCTCTGGTATATTTCAAAATTTCGTTTAACAACTGTATGCGATTGAAGATTAATGAAAAAAATTGTTAAGTAAAAAGAGAAACTCAAATCAACAGAAAGGATAAATTAAAATATTGAATGCCTGTCAACGTTACTTAATACTTCCGGTTTCTTTCGCTGTTAAACAGAGTAATTCAAGATTCAGGACAATAATACAATCCTGTTTTCTCGTATAAAGATGGATCCTAAAAAACCGTTAAACTGCATCGAAAGATGCCCAAATTATTTTTGATTGCAAAATTTACATATTTTTTTTCGATTACCTGTAGCTCTTTTCATTTCTTGTGCTATAAAAGGTACCTTTCCTATACAGTGATAAAAATTCTTAAGAACTATCAACAACAGGTGCCTCAACTTTAAGAATTGTCAAGTAAATATATTCACTTTCCATCTCTTCAATTATGTTGATTCAATCAACTTTTTCCGAGAAAATTGCTGATGACAAAAGTGTGCTTTATAATTATTTGAAAAAAGAAAACACAGAGTAAGCTATGACCACATAGTCTGGGAACGATTTATAGATGTTTCTTGTCAATTTTGTAGTTAAAGTTTAGATCAGTGAAGATACTTTCCAACAATTTTGCTGTTAGTTCAAAAATTTGACTGACGAAATTGATGAAATTGATTCCTGACGTTTCGCCCACATCTGCGGAGAACATCCTCGAATATGATGAGAAAACAATCGAAGTTGGCTTTCGTGTTTGTCCGAAATCTCTCAGCCTTTGATCACGTTCACCACAGAAGTGAGCGACACGTCAGGAGGCAGTTTCAATGGTTCACGGCTTGTAAGCCCGGAAAATTCTTCAACCGATTCTTATTATTAGACCGGCGACGAAACCCTTCAGTGTGAACTTTATTGTCAGTTGGGCTAATTGAAAGAGATAATCGAACTTTTCACACATCTCGATTGATTGATTATACATAAGTAGTGGTTTTCGCATTCGCATAGAAGTTTATTGATATTAAAAGGAGCTGCAATGCAAGATATGTTTCCGGACAAACCAATTTTATTTAAACATCCGTAACTAACAACAAATATATAATTACGGTTAAGTAATGGCTAATCTCGAACTGGAAATTCGGTTTTTGTCTAAATCGAAAAATTAAAAATCCTGGATTTATTTGAGTGAACGAGAGGCACTTCTTCGAGGTACTACTTCTTAAAAGGGCGCTTTTTTAATATAGGAAGAGCCTGGTTAAACTCAAAACATTTTTTAAGCTATTGGATCTCATCCGATAAAAACATTTACTTTGTCTTTTTTTAAATTATCCATAAATGTTTGCTTAAATGAGTATACAAAATATTACTAATGAAGCCTCTCAAATAGAAAATCAATTCAATTGATCACATTACTAGTTTATTGTTCACAGTTCTAGTGCATGCACATTAGAGCTGTTTCTTATTTTCAAAACAAGAAAATAGACCGTATTTATTTGAACATCTTGTTGACATACACTTCCCTTATGGTCTACCTGATGTGGGGACACTTGCGGCTCTAAAGTCCCCAATAAACCAAAACTGTAAATAGAATAATAAAATTCGCTTATTTACGCCACTTTCAGTTTTAGGAGGAATAAATCCTTGACCTCTGAATGAGGTCTTTAAAATCATCTTGTAGATTAGGCCTAGTGGTGACGGCGGATTTTCAAAATTATTGTCGTCAAAATCAAAATCATCAAAATTTTCGATTGTTTTGAAACGGATTTCCATTTCCAAAGTAAGTTTTTATTAAATTAAGCTCATGCCTTGGGAATGTGACATAATTCTTGTCCTGCTGCCTTCAAGCAGTTAGTCGGAAAATATTAAACCTGAGATTATAAGAATTATTTTAATTAAAAAATCTCATGAGCAAATGAAACGAAGAAAATACATATAGACTTTTATGTTATAGAGCGTTTACAGAAAAAAGTAAGAGATGAATATTCTATTAAAGTAAACCTCATACAAATTGACTGAGAATGAAATTTTGCAACAAATTGTCAATTGGGAGACGGATTATTTTGATAATTAAAGTGTGTGAATACTTAGATTATGAGAAAGTTGAAGACAACTTCGGTTTAACGTTGTTATTGTCGAACGGTATTTTTAAATGGGGATACTTTGTAGGCTGAGCCAAAAACCCAATTTCGAGTTTTACGATCGGCAATCGATTTTCTAAAAAAAATGGCATTTATTAGGAAAAATTTGGGAGAAATAATTTCTGTAGGGATTCATTTTTTTTTTAATAAAAGCATAAATATATAAATATGCATTTCTATTCGAATACCTTGATGTTAAAATGGACGAGTGGGAAGGAATCCCTAGATCACTAATGATCTGAACTGGTTTGATAAAGGAAAACACTAGCAGGAAGAACAAAATACCTACCAAATTATTATCTGGTTTATTCGGGACATTATCAAAAGGTCCCTGGTAAATGGGAGAAACTCGAAACCCTAGTGAAATACTACACTGACGATCCGACAACGCTGCATTCGATGGACTTGTGTTCGTTTGCCAGTTGAGAACAGAACTTTAGTCCGTGAAAGACTAACATGGCGACAGCAAAGGCTACGGCAAAGTTTTTCACTCACGGTACTTGCGAGCAGTACGAACAAGTTTTGAAACTGTACCCCCAGGCGATCAGATTGAAAGCCGATAACAAGGCGAAAAAGCCGGAAGAACTCATCAAATTGGATAATTGGTAAGTGTTGTGTTAAATAAGCGCGACAACACTGTGTCAATGAACTACGTTAATCGACTGTTTTACTGAGTGCCTGCATTGGTCTTAGGTAGATTTTGTGTTCTATGCACCCCCGCAAACATACTTAATCCGCGCGAGTCATCAATTGGACGGATTTCGCATTTGTTTCGCCAGAAATTGCAAAACAAATCGCGTGACGGCATCATGGCCGAGTCGTATCATTTCCTTTGCGGATTTCATAGGCTGTTCTTCTTTTCCTCTAGGTCTATGGTCTTTTCTGTTGTTGCCCATCATCATTGCATGTTTATAACGCGCCTTATTATAGTTAGGACACCGCAACTGCACTGAAGCAAGCCTTAACATGTTCCGTTAACAAAAGACGATCGTCGCTTTCAAAATGGTTCCCGTTCAGACAAAGCACAACGTGTCCTCGTTTTACTCAACTTTTGCCTTCTCAAACCGGGAATTTCACTCAAAGTGATAAACATTCTTAATGCACGCATGCATCCGCATTGTTTACTTTCAAATAAATCCCGCCTGCCGCCTTTTGCTATTTGAATTTTGATTGATCTTTTCCGACGAATGGTCGAAGCGGTGGGGGAAGATATTATCGGCGATGTGCACATGTTTCCCAGGATAATGGGCTTTTTTACTGGTGGTTTGTCCTGCTGGATGGTTGGTTTAGGGTTGAATTAAGTATGATTTACCGCAGTTTAAAGTTACGAAGTAAAATTAACTTTGTGTCTCTGGACAGTTATTAACTATTGACTAATTTAAAAAAAAATGAATTACCTATTCATGTTTTAAATCTTCAGTTATGGTATTATACCTACGATATGGTACATCTTTTTTGTTATTTATTCTAGAAATTTACATTCTAGTATTCTAGAACAAATATTGTGTAGCTTATTTTTTGATTCCTGCATTTTGTTTCAATTGCGACTAATTAAATAATTATTGAAACTACAACAATTTTGTTTTTTGTTAACTGACATTGACATTAAAGGCGCATTTACAAGTCACCCATGCTGAGATTTATCATATAATTGTCAAACTGTATATTGTCAGTGACATTTAGCTGAAGGCCCGACTTATATTTCTCAATTCATAATTTTTGTTTACTGTTTGTATTTCAATTGTCGTATGTATTTCTGAATTAAAAAAGACCGGAAATAGGTTAGTACTTCTCTATTTGAAGAACAAGAGTAACATTTTTAAAATTGGCCAGCTGAGTCAAAAAATTAAAAAGTTTTAAGCGTCACTCTATTTGAATGTCAATTTAATTTTATTATAATTTTCTTCAAATAACATACATGATTTTCATTGAAAATACGTACTTACTTTTTTGCAGGTATGTATAAATATATCTATTATTAAGAAACAAAACTATTATTAGCAATAGTTTCATTGCTAATGTTATTGATTGATTTTTCTTATTATTCTAATTATTAATTTATCAAATAAATATAAAATTGATGTATTATTATTTTTAATAAAACGATTTTTCATCTATTGGTAAATTCACATTGTTTCAGTATAGAGGTGTCACATATACAATAATGCAAATTGTCAAATTTGTCCTTACTTTATCGCTGTTGCTTGCTGCGTTCCATATGTGTATAAATGTTATTAATATGACCATGTCAAAATTTTAAAGTACATGTTTGATAGCCTCAATCTATGACACAAAGGATGGCACAACAGATGTAAATGAACATTGCCAACTGTCACATTGCTTTCAAAGTGACAGTTGTCATCAGACTGTTTACATTTACTGTGACATTTGAGCCTAATGTCAATCTGTCAGATAGCTACATTTAATTTTCCGAATCCTTCTACGAAATTGGGCGCGTTTGTAATATTTTTAATGGCGACATGCAGTTTTTCAATTAGGTCACGCATTGTTAATTAATTAAATGGCAAATGAGTTAATGTATTAAAAAAACATATTTTGCATCTTTTAACAAAAATATATGTTATTTACTCGTTCACTTTAAAAGCTACAATGTTAGTCAAATTTATAAGCTAGAAACATTTTTTTGAGCTTTGAAGTTTTATTTATTTGTGTGAGTGTAAGTTGATTAAGAAAATATATTAATATATTTGGAGTAGCAGAATCTTATGAAGTTTTCAGGTTGAAATTTCAAGGCGTCAGTTTTTTATTTTGCGAGATTTTGAGAGCTTAATAAAACCAAAATAAGTGGGCTTTTACTTAACGTAAAAAAAACTTGACCGAATCACCCTGTAAATGCATCAAGGCAGTTTTGAGACAATTTGGATGGATTTATGTTGAATTTGAACAACTTCATATATTGTCTTGTTTGTTAGAGCTAGTTTTTCGAACAGTTGAAACGCATTTATCGATATATGTAACATATTATTTTTATCCACTTTCGACTATTGTAAAAAAACACAGGTTATTTAATTTTGAATCGATTATAATCATAATCACCCGAAGTTCTGCATAACTGACGGTACACTAAACAGCAGTTTGGTCCAAAACCCTTTCGGGATAAGAGATACAACGGGTGTAAAGTTACTATTTAATAAATTGGTCATACTTTGATATAGATACCATATGTGAAACTTGCTTATTTGCAAACGTCAATAAAGTGTTGAATAAAATTCAGAAGTCAGTACAAAGATGTGAATTTTCAAGTATACATGATTTATAACGGAAAGTATCTAAAAAACTAAGCTAAGGTAAAAACTATCAATAAGCAGATAATACAGAAACGGATTTTTTGAATTATCTGTACGCAGAAACATATTTTCTGTTTTACATGTTTATTGATAGTATTTATGTTGGTTACAAGCTACTTTTCGTCCGGAGAATCATTTAAAAATGTGTCGAATTGTTCTTTTCTGAAGTCTTTGGATTTCTTTGGCCGGTAAGTTTCGTGCTGATTTTTCAAATTGGGCACATTTTGCGAAATTTGCTGGCTATTGCATGTTTGATATTCATTAGAGATTATCATCGAAAAACGTGCCCATAACGTAGAACTTTTCACGTTTCGGCTTTTAGGTGCAGGAAATGATAAAGTAATTTTATAAAAGTACTTTATTATAATTTTAATGATATCTATCTATTCTATCTGATATTAATAATTGCTTAAATAAAAAGTGCCTCGGCTGAACCTCACTCTGCCTCACTGGGACATAAAGTATTACTTTTCCTCCTAATAATAAAATCAACTACACCTTATGTATGTACAATACTATAGATTATACAGTCTTTATATCGCGATAAAATGCATTCAAGTATTTTCAATAGGAAAGGACGATAATTTGTCCGAAAAGTTCCTGCAGGTATACAGGGCATGTGAGGAAAGACCGAAATATTTCCCCGAAACCACTTAAGTAATTTTCATTTGAACAAGGCACGTCTAGGCTGTGCCTTGTTTAATGAAAATACTGTGTGTAACCATTCAAGGCTTTGTGATTCATTGAACGCGATTGTTTTTCACTGCAGAATGTGGGAAAATGTATTTTCCAAATTAAGCTCATATTTGTTATATATATATATATATATATTGCTCAAATTAGCAGCAATTGATAATAAATCCGTTGCAGAATGGAAGCATTTTGATAAATTGCGTGTGTGTATTGGCACAAATATGTGTTGTTGTTTCGACTTAGAATGAATGGAAAAGCCATCCTATATAAAAATTAATAACTGGATATTATAGCAATTAAATTACCGCCCAACTTTTGACCTTTATACGCAATAAATAGGAAAAAAAACGAAATTCCCGGAAGCAGTAAATATCTAGAAGAGCGCCAGCATCAACAAAGGTAATTAGAGAATTCCAGTGCAAAATGTGTTTAGGATTTCCTGGGTCAAGGCCGGTCGTAACAAAGACTAGAAATAATCTATTAATACAATCTAAGCACCGTTTTATCTAAAAATGACGCTACGCAATAGCACTCACCGTTTATTTACTCTCTCCACTCTTCCAATGAAGCAGCTGATTTAAAAATTATTGCACTTTCCTCCGGCTGGCACACTGACGCACTCAGGTAGGTATTTAGTCTTTGGGAGATTCTCAATCATGTGCCCATTCACGTGCCAAGGTTTTATCAGCTATTATTTCATTAATTACACTGGACATTACACTAGATTTATTAAACTAATTTGCGACTTGTTAAGGGGATTTCCTGGTTGTGTGAAGCCGCAATCACACTCGACAAAGTTGCCATAAAATGGTTCAAAGCGTATAAATCTGATTAAAATCAATTTTAAATGAATTAATCATAATAAGCCAGGTCTGGTAATTCAATGAGCTCAAGTCAGTGCCATTTAAGTTAGGCAAATTAGCATGATGTGAGATATATTTGAATTATCGTGGTTTGCTTTTAAACAAATACTGAAGAAAGCTGAGAGCGGTTTGGATTTGGGGCTGTCTTGCAAAGCACTTGAACGAAGAGAATTCTCTTATAATTGAAAATATAGTCTAGTGTCATTACGAAAACCAATGTTTTCAATGCACTTCAGTGTTTAACGGATGTTTCATTTTGTACATTTGCTTTTCCCTAAGCTTTGCGCTCTTAATGACCCTTTCAATAACGTTTGATTTCCCTTAAAAGTCTGGATTATTAGATTTAATCAATGCGTTATTTTTTTATAAACGTTGATTCGGTAATTTATTAGTTTTGGTTAATAACCTTACTCCTTGCTTTAATTCTTAAAAAGTGTTCTTAGAAGGGAAGATTTTTCATGGTTAGGGTTGTGGAAACTGCAACTGATATAAACAAGTTTAAGTAAGCCTAAGATTGAGCTTTTGAATACTCTACTCAAGGCCGATTTTCTCGTAACTCAAAATTTGACCGCTGTTTTTCATAAATTTAAGTATAATATGTTAAATTTAAATATATCTACTGGTAGTTTCAACTATTTTAAAATTGGAAATGAATAAAATATTTTTCAAAGTATAAATAGTCTATTAACTGTTAATACTATCCGTAATAACACAACCTTTAACAAATCGACCATCAATATT